TTTCCCCGGCTAATACTATGCTACCTTAATTATATATTGTTATTGATGTTCTGGAGCTCCTGAAATTGTCAAAATTCTAAAATTCTGATTTGACATCCAGTTACAAACAGCTTGTATACGGAAAGAAACAGAACCCAACAATGTAGAGTCAATATTTATTTTTTATTTCCTTCTGCGAGTTGTTAGTATTGATAAGAAAGTTGCAAATAACGCAACAAATTATTGAAGAGGCTCTCAGTCGGTCAATTTGGATTTGGATCTATACAGCTATGTGATGTCAAAAGAACAAGACAAATGAACAATTTGCAAGACCCAGTCTTTATTTGATTAATGCCGATAAATATTTCTAGGCCTTACCTAATCTATGAAATACATGAAGATCAATTGGTATGTAATTTGCATCTAATCCAGACAGTCTGCCAGTTGCAAGCCTATTAAAGCTGGAGGGGGGCCACGAAAAAAACTCTTTTTTTTTTGTCATGAAAGTTTAGATAATTCCATTACCAAGTAAGCTCTGTGTACAACCTCCTTATTTAGACACCTTTCACACCAAAACGAAACTTTGCTATTTACAAGTCACTAAACACCTCACGAAACTTTGATCAAAATAGAAAACCTCCAGCTCCATGAAAAAAGAGGCCTATCAAAAAAATTCAAACGCAAGTAATAACAAACGGAGAACCTGTACAGTCAAGCTCCTAGCACTCCGTTAGCAGGACTAGACGCAAAATGTTGGCATCCTCTTCTATCACTCGCTGCGTCCTCCGTGATCTCAATCCTGCTTAATTGAATCTTTAAGAAGAAGGTAACAGTATCTTTGATAGTATTTTTCACATTTGGCTTTATACTTCCAAAAATCCTATAGTTCCTTGCCTGGCAAACAAAATAGACTGATGCCCCCAACGCACTATGATGAATTTTAGCAAAAGCCCCAGTCCTGCTACCACTCTTTACTACCCAAGAAATTAACTCGCCCCATCGCCAAGTCAATTGATCCATCATTATGAATTGGGTAAATTTTTGAAAACACCCATTTTTCAAATTTATATAGCAAAATCGATCCTTTCTGAAAAATCATCAAAACCGACCCTTTTCAGATGAAAATGGTCGGTTTTGCTGCGGAAGAGATTTTCGAATTGCACGGGACTAGCAGTCCCGTGTATTTTATTTTCTTTTCAATCCAAAACATCATGTTAAAGTAACCCCTCCACTCTAGCTTACTAACATCAACCCTAATCCACCTACTGTGTTTCACCCTCGGCAACGCCAACACCGACATTACGGCGAACAGCGACAGCGAGAAGGCGGCAAGAACTACGGCGGCAGCGAAACCGATGATGTGGAGGCCGCGGTAATTTAGGAAGGTTAAGGCGGATGTGATCAACAGGATTAGCGGGGTTCTTCGGAGGGAGGGGTTGAGGTAATCGAGGAAGAGGACGGGGTAGAGGGCGTTGTCGATGGCGCCGGAGGCCCACTTCCAGAGGCCCAGCTGGAAGGCCCAGAAGGGGGAGGAGAAGGCGGAGGAGACCCAGAGGACGTAGCCACCGTTGTAGGGGGAGAGGGAGGAGAGCTTGGCGGTGATGAGGGCCTCAGGGAGAGACCGGAGGAGGGGAAGAGGAGGAAGCCGGCGATGGAGAGGAGGGGCCCACAGCCGCAGCAAACGGAGTCATCGATGCCGAATGGGCTGCCGGAGACGTCGTAGAAGATGAGGGCAACGAGGGGGTTCTTCGGAGGGAGGGGTTGAGGTAATCGAGGAAGAGGACGGGGTAGAGGGCGTTGTCGATGGCGCCGGAGGCCCACTTCCAGAGGCCCAGCTGGAAGGCCCAGAAGGGGGAGGAGAAGGCGGAGGAGACCCAGAGGACGTAGCCACCGTTGTAGGGGGAGAGGGAGGAGAGCTTGGCGGTGATGAGGGCCTCAGGGAGAGACCGGAGGAGGGGAAGAGGAGGAAGCCGGCGATGGAGAGGAGGGGCCCACAGCCGCAGCAAACGGAGTCATCGATGCCGAATGGGCTGCCGGAGACGTCGTAGAAGATGAGGGCAACGAGGGGGAGGAGGGTTAGCTTGGGCCGAGAGGTCGGGGCTGACGATGATGACGGGTGCGGGTAAAGAAAACGAAATGCACGTGACTGCTAGTCCCATGCAATTCGAAAACCTCTTCCGCAGCAAAACCGATCCTTTTCATTTGAAAAGGGTCGGTTTTGCTAATTTTTTTCAGAAAATGTCGATTTTGCTATATAAATTTGGGTGTTTTCAAAAATTTGTCCTTACGAATTTAACAACACCAAACCAAAACCTCTCTACCAAACCGACACTTAGAGAACAAGTGTTCCTTAGTTTCAGTTGCATTTGAACACAAAGAGCAAGTACTAGATCTATATCTAAACCTCTGCTTCTCAAAAAGATTTCAACATAATCCTATCGTGGCAAGCAAGCCACAAAATTATGGACTGCTTTGGTAAAGTAAAATGACTCCGAACTAACCTTCTCCAAGCAGGTATTTGAGCGACGGAATTAAGAGCTAGAAATGCACCTTTAGAACTGAACGAGGGAAGGAGGTCCAATCCATGAAATACTTGCATCATTCATTTCCACCAACCGATTAGCAAACACCCTCAGCTTCTAAATTTTCTTCATAACCTATGTATGTACTGTGTACGACCCCTGCGTGTTGCAAGAAGTATAGCCAACCAAGCTAACACATGCAATTAGTTCAAGGGCATATAATAAAGAGAGACTCTAATTGGATGTTAATTTTGGCAAGTTGTTTAGCAACCCTAAGGTATAGATTAAGAAAATGACTTGATACTTTTAATGGATTGGGATCCTCTACTAATGAGGATCCTCCTAAGATCTCCTAATGAGGAGATCTTGGCCTTTGATTTATCAATCAAAGGTCAATATCTCATTCTCTTCCTCCTCTCTACTTTTCCTCATGAGGAGATCTTGGCATTTGATTTATCAATCAAAGGTCAAGATCTTGGCCTTTGATTGATAAATGAATCAACTTATAACAAAAGAGTTTAAGAGTTAGCATATAATCTTAGTTTGAGCATTTTGACAAGGCTACAGACGAACAAGGCTAATGAGGCTACAATGATCTCATGTCCTCTCACCACCAACTGACAATGTGATGTAGGATGCATAACGATCAAATTCATGAAGAAGTGGACCTTCACGAGTCAAATATGGATACATATGAATTATTGACTGATCGCAGAGAAACAACAGTATCTCCCAATCCAGAAGGCGGATTCTAACATATACATATAAAAAGCGCATATCTCGACAAGACAGGGTCAATTAGTTTGGCAGAATCCCACAATCCCATCAGTAACACCCGTTTTTGGCAGGATTTCAGAAATAATCAGCGTTTAGTTTATTTTTAGTAACAAAGTTAGATACAATTTAGATTAGGAAACAAAATCAATTTTGATTTAATTAGGACTGAATTGTTTCATTTATTATAGGAAGTATTTTAGGTAGTTTTAAATTGTTTCTTTCTTTTAAGAATTCTGTTCTTATTAGGAGTAGACTTTTTTTGTAATTTAACAAGAAGGATTATAAACATCATGGATCATATCACTTTTATTAATAAAATTATCTTTTATATTACTTCATGGATTCGAGGTTGTCTCTTTGTGAATTCGAAAATTGATCTTTGTGTATTCAGAGAACTCCCAAACGCTATTGGATCAAATGACAAAGACATTTGGTGGATTTCGAGGTTTATCACTTTCGTGTTGTGTTAATTGTATCAAAGCATTGTTTCTCCGATCCGATGGCAGATGATGAAGCCCGTGTTACCCCAATTGAGTTAGATGATTTGAAGAGGGGAGTTACTCAGATGAAGACTTTCATACACCGACTTGCGTTGGCGGTGGACCATCTGAATCCGGAACGAGTTCGAGATCGCGTTGATAGTCTCAAAAAATGAGATCCGACTTTGTAAGATAAATCCTACAACGATGATTGTAGAGGCTACTGAAGAAAGGAGAACTATGACGATGGAGGATTAAAGATATCATCCTTCAACGGAAAGCTTCATACTTATAATTTTCTTAATTGGATTAGTGAAGTGGATAGATATTTTTAGTATGAGATAATCTCAGAAGGTTAGAAAGTTAAATTAGTGGTCTACGGACTTAAAGGAAAAGCATCTGTATGGTGGGATGAAGTATTAATAAATCGATACCATCAAGGGAAGGATCTGGTTCTAACATGGGCAAAGATGAAGGAATTGTTGAAAACTCATTTTCTTCCTATATATTATTATGTGTTCAATTGACATCTTAATTCACACTCTAACTATGGTCATGGAAGTATTAAGCAGCCCCAATTTGATCTTGAGCAAGACCCTAGAGTTGGAAAGGGCATTGAAGTAACAATAAAAAAAGAAGAACCACATCCTGAGCATAATATCTTCCGCATGAGATACACTGTGATGCAGAAGATTTACAATGTTATCATTGATAGTCGCAGTAGAAAGAATCTTATCTCTCGATGTATGGTGAATAAGTTAGATTTGAAGATAGAAAAACACCCATCTCCCGATAAGATCGACTGGATTCGCAAGAGCAATGATGTACAGAATGATGAGATGTGTCGGGTACCTTTTTCTATCTGCCACAACTATGTCGATGTGATGTTGTGTGATGTGGTCGAGATAGATACTCGTCATATACTTTTAAGTAGGCCATGGCAGTTAGATGTTGGTGCCACTCACAGGAGCAGAGACAATACTTGTATCTTCAAGTAGGATGGATGTTGATTTGCACTCGCGTTTTTTTAAAAAAGAAATCATCCATGATAGAGACTACCGAGAAAAGAAATTTCTAGTGGTAGACAACAAGACTTTAGCCGAAGACTTGAAGCATTCTGAAGAGATTTATGCCTTGGTTGTGACTAAAAAAAGGAGAAGCTATCCCTGCTAAAATTCCTCCTAAGGTGCAAACACTCATTATGCATGAGATTCATAATGCTGATGGTAATATGATATAGAAGATGGATATTATACATGATATTCCCAAAGAGGTTGTGAGCGATATTGCACATATTGATGTTGTCCCGATGGAGGAAAAGGATAAAATAGAAAGTGAGGCAATTGATGATATGTGTAAATTGCTTAGTGGAGGGTCCAAAACAAAGGAGATGGAGTGCGAAGAAAATTCTTCTTTTGAAATAAAGAGCATCAATAGCTTCGACAAGATTGAGATGAAACTTCAGGCACAAGAGTATGAAAAGCAACAAGGAAAATATTTTGAGAAGTTTTTTAAGTCAGTTGTAGATCCACATGCCGTCAGTCACATAAACATGGTGTGGGAAAGATTTATTCAAAAGTTTAATTCAGAGAAGCCCTAGCCGAAGAGGAAAAAGAACAGATAGAGAAAATCAATGCTAACTACAAAGCGGACGTTGATCGATGCAGAAGAAGAAAAGTGTTTATGAAGGAAGCTACTATTCAAACAAATATAAGCTCGGAGTCGAGCTTCTTTTAACAAGGGAAGACTGATGTAGGATGCATAACGTTCAAATTCATAAAGAAGTGGAACTTTCACGAGTCAAATAAGGATATGGATGAATTATTAACTGACCATAGAGAAACAACAGTATCTCCCAATCAGGAAGGTGGTTTCTAACATATTATATATGAAAATAGCCTATCTCGATGAGACAGAGTCAATCAGTTTGGCAGAATCCTACAATTCCTTTATTAACACATGTTTTTGGTAGGATTTTAGAAATAATTAGCCTTTAGTTTATTTTTAGTAATAAAGTTAGAGTCAATTTAGATAAGAAAACAAACTCAATTTTGATTAAATTAGGATTGATTTGTTTCCTTTATTATAGGAAGTCTTTTAGGTAGTTTTAAATTATTTCTTTCTTTTAGGAATTCTATTCTTATTAGGAGTAGACTTTGTTTTTTTATTTAAGAAGAAGACGTGTAAACATCATGGATCAGATCACTTTTATCAATAAAATTCTCTTTTGTATTACTTTGTGGATTCGAGGATTGTTCTTTGTGGATTCAGAGAACACTCCTTAGTGGATTCTATGATTTATCACTTCCACGCTGTGTTACAATACTAACCTGAGTACTTAGTCTAACATGCATAATTATAAGCAGCAAACCTCTAAGAAACAAGATAACAGCAAAAATTAAGCAAAATATTGTACAACATCTGGGAAAGAGGCATTAGTCCCTTCTCTCTTAAATAAAGATTAGATGATAGCTTTTGAGGATTAATAGAAGTCTCATATCTTTAGATAATTCCCTATCCAGTACATGATGAAGCGGGCTGCATTAAATGATAGCTTTTGAGGATTACTAGAAATCTCATTGAAGATGAGATTGTTTTTAGCCCACCAAAGATGTTGAGCATTGCGGAAGCCAAACAACCAAACTAACGTGCTACGAGAAACCAAATCAAACGAACGTCGAGAGAAGGGCAAACGAACCAAATCAATGCCACAAACATAAACAACCAATTTTAACGTGGTTCGGCAAGTTGCCTACGTTCACTGGGCAAGAAGAGGATAAGGTTTTTCACTAATAGAGAAGAAGAGTACAAACTGTGATTATAAATCACTCAAACTCACCAATAAATCTCACCAACAAATCTCTAATTCTCTCCAAACAAAACCCTAACCAATAGCTCAGAAAATACATCTTTTCTGTGCTCCAAATATCCCCAATTTTCTTCTCAATTCTCTCTTCCAATTGTTCTATATATATAGAAATCCTAAAATCATAAACATACTAGGAATTCTAAAACAAAAAACAAAACATATTAGGAATCCTAATAAGCTGTTACCAAAACAAATTTGGAATCATGTTACCAAAACAGATTAGGAATCCCAATAACCTGTTACCAAAACAAATTAGGAAACATATTAGGAACCTGCTATCCAACAATTCTCCACCTCGGCGAAGTTTTTCTAAAATTGAGCCGACACCAATACCAACCAAACGTCTCACTTGTTGCGTCTAGTATGAAGTGGAACAAATCTATGACAACGGACTCAATCCACAACAAGTCAAGAACCCAAACGAGAATGTGAACAAACTCCTAATGTCGGTATCATATCATCAAACCGGCTGCATCATAAATGACTATCTACGTATCCTCTTACCTAAGGAATCAAGCATTCACGTAGTTCACCCAAACGGCCTCCAAAGGCCCTCAATCAAATAAAAAAGTTTGCAGCTCTTCACTAATATTACTAACGGATCTGTAACTGATAGCACTCCCAATAGTCCCAAACTGGAACAAATCAAACACCTCCACCTGAGGTGAACCAATGACCGTATCCAAAACATGTCCACCAAGTGCACTCGAATCCAAAAATAACTCATCATCTACATCCAAATCCAAATGATCTCCAAACCGTGTCACCTCAGCTAGAATCCCAAATGATATAGTATGATCTGAAGTATGTAGAGTAATCTCCACCCAATGTGAAGTAGCATCACCCTCCACCCGCTATGACATACCTGCTCAGAACAAAATCAGAAGCTCCTAATTGATAATCAAACGAACCTCTGAATCCTAAACGTGCAATCGGATCAAATCCCACATCCTCGATGTAACCAAATGCTGGGTAACCAAATATCCGACGTAACCCAAAATCTGAAGCAGCTCCACCAGATCTATAATCTCCACACGTAGCAGTCGGCAACCTATGACCAAGATGACCCAAATATATCAAAGCTTCAAAACCAAAACCAATGCTCGACAACCAACACCGATCCCCCTCCAGTAAGGAACGACCTATCAAAACTGACATCTCATCTCATCGCCCCATTGTCTTCATATCAATGAAGTGTCTCAAACTGCCATGAGCTCGGTACAAATGCAAGAAAGAACCCCTACCAAAGCTAGAACGACGGGTTACCATTCTGCCAATACACTTATTCCAATTGTTATTGACTTCTAGGACTTCACACTAATGGGACCTGGTTGTAATCCACCAATGCCTAGAACATTCCCCAACTGTGAAAACCAAATACTGATTACCTCCTAATGATGCCTCCTTGGAAGGCCCCCAAATGCCTAACTGAACACCACCTAAAAGACCCCACGATCGATGGATAGAAGTGCTAAACTCCACCTCGATCTTCTTGCTCATACCAATGTGCTCAAAGGACTTCAATCTATAGGTCAAAGCACTCCTTAACAAACCATGCACGACATAACCAATCTAATAACTCAGCCTCAACAAATGCCACAGTCAAGCCAAATCCAAAGAAGTCGTCAGCTCTCTATCAAACACTGTGCTCCCAATCAAATAATACAAATTATTCCTCCTGACGCCCTTCATCACAATCATAGACCCCAATGTGACCTTCAAACATGAATCAACCAAGGTCACTTTATAGCCTGCTGCCTCTAAAACTCCAAGTGAAATGATGTTCTTCTTTAACTGAGGAATGAACCTTACTCCAACTAACTCCCGAATCACTCCGTCACTCATCCTAATCCTAACGGTACTGATACCACCAATAGGACATTCGTGATCATTACCCATGAGCACGACTTCTCCTCTTTCCAACTCCTAAAGCTGGTGAACCAATCCTTCCTAGGACAAATATGGTAAGAAGCACCCGAATCTAACATCCACTCTCTATAGTCGGCAATACAAATTGATAGTAGTGCAGATAACGAGTAGCCCGAAGAATCCAAATCTGAATTATTATCACTAGCCTTGATAACATTCACCTCTGAAGCTTGAATAGCTTTCCCCTTATTCTTCCCGGCTCGATCAATCAACTTTGGGCATTCGGATTTCCAATGTCCATCCTCTTTACAAAAGACACACGGATTTCTACAAACTCCAAGATGTGCCCCTCTAGACTGTGACCTCCTACCACGGTTTAGACTCTTTGCTCTTGTGACCAATACCCCTGCTACCGGCTCAACTGAAGTCTCCTTATCCTTCTTTCGAAGCTGATAATTCATAAGTGCAGCGGTGACCTCACTATAAGAATGAAATGCCTTTCAATTAATAAGAGTAAGAACGAAGGTCTTATATTCCTCGTCAGGCAAGGAACTCAACAACAACAACGTCTTGTCCTCATCTTCAATCATCACATATACATTCGCTAAATCTGTAAGAAGCTTCGTGTAGTGGTTCATGTGATCACCAATGGAGGTCCCCTTCTTTAATTGGAAGCGATAAAGCCTCATCTTCAAATGCAAGTGGTTCTCTACACCTTGGTCAAATACTTGCCCTCTAGGATCTCCCAAATCTTCTTAGCCGAAGTCTCATTAATCACATCATATTTTAAATGTTGAGTCAAATAAGATCTAATCACACCACACGCCGTTCTATTCATCTTTTTCCAAATCTTCTCCTCAATGTCGTCCGGTTTCCCGTCCAACTCCAAAGTATCTTCTAAATTTTATGCATTGAGCGCATCTAAGACTTCACATCTCCAAAGACCAAAATTATTTGTGCCATTAAACTTCTCTACATCTATCTTCATAGAGTGGATATTCAAACTTTAGACAGTCTTCACGCCGGAAGTACCCTTCACAACTCCTTCTTTCCCGACCATCTTTCTCAAAGCACCAAAACAAATGTGGAACAAATGAAGAATAGAACCAAAACTAAAAAAAGATAGTCTTTACCAAAAAGATCCTACCTTTATCACCAAACGAAGCCCTAGGCGAGCCTTCAAAACGACCTACTCCTCCAAATAACCCAAGCGTAGCCCGAGCTCTGATACCATTTGTTGGGCTCTGATACCACTTGTTGAGCACTGCGGAAGCCAAACAACCAAACCAACATGCCACGAGAAATCAAATCAAACGAACGTCGAGAGAAGACAAAACGAACCAAATCAATGCCACAAACACAAACAACCAATTTTAACGTGGTTCGGCAAGTTGCCTACGTTCACGGGGCAAGAAGAGGATAAGGTTTTTCACTAATAGAGAAGAAGAGTACAAACTGAGATTATAAATAACTCAAACTCACCAATAAATATCACCAACAAATCTCTAATTCTCTCCAAACAAAACCCTAACCAATAGCTCAGAAAATACCTCTTTTCTGTGCTCCAAATATCCCCAATTTTCTTCTCAATTTTCTCTTCCAATTGGTCCATATATATAAAAATTCTAAAATCATAAACATACTAGGAATTCTAAAATAAAAAATAAAACAGATTAGGAATCCTAATAACCTGTTACCAAAACAGATTTGAAATCATGTTACCAAAACAGATTAGGAATCCTAATAACATGTTACCAAAACAAATTAGGAAACATATTAAGAACCTGCTATCCAACAAAAGACACCAACAAAAAGCGAGAAGCATAACTGAGCACCATTTACAAATGAATCAGAAACAAAGC